TGCCACAAACAACCTCCCACAATGCCACTGTCAACCTGCTACATTGTCACTACCTGGTACAGTGTCACTAACAACCTACTTCAGTGTCACTGACAACCTTCTTCAGTGCCACTAACAACCTGCTTCAGTGTCACTAACAACCTAATTCTGTGTCACTAACAACCTATTTCAGTGCCACTAACATCCTGCTTCAGTGTCACTAACAACCTACTACAGTGTCACTAACAACCTACCACAATGCCACTAACAACCTCCCACAATGCCACTAACAACTTCCCACAATGCCAGTAACAACCTCCCGCAATGCCACTAACAACCTCCCACAATGCCACTAACAACCTACCACAATGCCACTAACAACCAACCATAATGCCACTAACAAATTCCCACAATGCCACTAACAACCTATCACAATGCAAGTAACAACCTACCACAATGCCACTAACAACCTCCCACAATGCCACTAACAACCTCTCACAATGCCACTAACAACCTACCACAATGCCACTATCAACCTACCGCAATGCCACTAACAACCTACCACAATGTCACTAACAACCTTCCCACACTGCCACCAACAACCTACCACAATGCCACTAACAACCTACCACAATGCCACTAACAACCTACCACAATGCCTCTAACAACCTACCACAATGCCACTAACAACCTCCCACAATGCCACTAACAACCTCCCACAATGCCACTAACAACCTCCCACAGTGCCACTAACAACCTACCACAATGCCACTAACAACCTACCACAATGCCACTAACAGCCTACCAAAATGCCACTAACACCCTCCCACAATGCCACTAGCAATCTCCCACAATGCCACTAACAACCTACCACAATGCCACTAACAACCTCTCACAGTTCCACTAACAACCTTCCACAATGCCACTAACAACCTACAACATTGCCACTAACAACCTAACACAATGCCACTAAGAACCTCCCACAGTGCCACTAACAATCTCCCACAATGCCACTAACAACCTACCACAATGCCACTAACAACATACCATAATGCAACTAACAACCTCCCACAATGCCACTAACAACGTACCACAATGCCACTAACAACCTACCATAATGCCACTTATAACTTCCCACAATGCCAATAACAACCTCCCACAATGCCACAAACAACCTCCCACAGTGCCACTAACAACCTCCCACAATGCCACTAACAACCTCCCATAATGCCACTAACAGCCTCCCACAATGCCACTATCAACCTGCTACAGTGTCACTAACTACCTCGTACAGTTTCACTAACAACCTACTTCAGTGCCACTAACAACCTGCTTCAGTGTCACTAACAACCAACTACAGTGTCACTAACAACCTACCACAATGCCACTAACAGCCTCCCACAATGCCACTAACAACCTGCCACAAAGCCTCTAATAGCCTCCCACAATGCCACTAAGAACCTCTAACAATGCCACTAACAACCTACCACAATGCCGCTAACAACGTCCCACAATGCCACTAACAACCTCCCACAATGCCAGTAATAACCACCCACAGTGCCACTATCAACCTCTTACAGTGTCACTAACAACCTGCTACAGTGTCACTAACAACCTGCTAGAGTGCCACTAACAACCTGCTTCAGTGTCACTAACAACCAACTACAGTGTCACTAACAGCCTCCCACAGTGCCACTAACAACCTCCCACAATGCCACTAACAACCTACCACAATGCCACTAACAACCTACCACAATGCCACTAACAACCTACCACAATGCCACTAACAACCTCCCACAATGCCACTAACAATATCCCACAATGCAACTAACAACCTCCCACAGTGCCACTAACAACCTACCACAATGCCACTAACAACCTCCCACAATGCCACTAACAACCTACCACAATGCCATTAACAACCTACCACAATGCCACTAACAACCTCCCACAATGCCACTAACAACCTACCACAATGCCACTAACAACCTCCCACAATGCCACTAACAACCTACCACAATACCACTAACAACCTACGACAATGCCATTAACAACCTATCACAATGCCACTAAGAACCTCTCACAATGCCACTAACATCGTCCCACAATGCCACTAACATCGTCCCACGATGCCACTAACAACCTACCACAATGCCATTAACAGCCTATCACAGTGCCACTAACAACCTACCACAATGCCATTAACAGCCTATCACAGTGCCACTAACAACCTGTCACAATTCCACTAAGAACCTCTCACAATGCCACTGACAACGTCCCACAATGCCACTGACAACGTCCCACAATGCCACTGACAACGTCCCACAATGCCACTGGCAACGTCCCACAATGCCACTAACAACGTCCCGCAATGCCACTAACAACGTCCCACAATGCCACTAACAACGTCCCACAATGCCACTAACAACGTCCCACAATGCCAAAACAACGTCCCACAATGCCAATAACAACAATCCCACAATGCCACTAACACGTCCCACAATGCCACTAACAACGTCCCACAATCCCAACTAACAAACACCACAATGCCACTAACAACGTCCCACAATGCCACTAACAACGTCCCACAATCCCACTAACAACATCCCACAATGCCACTAACAACGTCCCAATCCCACTAACAACGTCCCACAATGCCACTAACAACGTCCCACAATGCCAATAACAACGTCCCCAATCCCAATAACAACATCCCACAATGCCACAAACAACGTCCCACAATGCCACTAACAACGTCCCACAATCCCAAACTAAAAAACGTCCCACAATGCCACTAACAACGTCCCACAATGCCAATAACAACGTCCCCAAATGCCAATAAAAAACATCCCACAATGCCACTAACAAACGTCCCACAATGCCACAAACAACGTCCCACAATGCCCTAACAACATCCCACAATGCCACTAACAACGTCCCACAATGCCACTAACAACATCCCACAATGCCACTAACAACATCCCACAATGCCACTAACAACGTCCCACAATGCCAATAACAACGTCCCACAATGCCAATAACAACATCCCACAATGCCACTAACAACGTCCCACAATGCCACTAACAACGTCCCACAATGCCACTAACAACATCCCACAATGCCACTAACAACGTCCCACAATGCCACTAACAACGTCCCACAATGCCACTAACAACATCCCACAATGCCACTAACAACATCCCACAATGCCACTAACAACGTCCCACAATGCCAATAACAACGTCCCACAATGCCAATAACAACATCCCACAATGCCACTAACAACGTCCCACAATGCCACTAACAACGTCCCACAATGCCACTAACAACATCCCACAATGCACTAACAACGTCCCAACAATGCCACTAACAACGTCCCCAATGCACTAACAACATCCCACAATGCCACTAACAACATCCCACAATGCCACTGACAACGTCCCACAATGCCACTAAACAACGTCCCACAAGCCACTAAAACGTCCCACAATCCCACTAACAACGTCCCACAATGCCATTAACAACGTCCCACAATGCCACTAACAACGTCCCACAATGCCACTAACAACATCCCACAATGCCACTAACAACATCCCACAATGCCACTGACAACGTCCCACAATGCCACTAACAACGTCCCACAATGCCACTAACAACGTCCCACAATGCCACTAACAACGTCCCACAATGCCATTAACAACATCCCACAATGCCACTAACAACGTCCCACAATGCCATTAACAACGTCCCACAATGCCATTAACAACATCCCACAATGCCACTAACAACGTCCCACAATGCCACTAACAAGGGCCCCACAATGCCATTAACAACATCCCAATGCCATTAACAACATCCCACAATGCCATTAACAACGTCCCACAATGCCACTAACAACGTCCCACAATGCCACTAACAACGTCCCAGAATGCCACTAACAACGTCCCACAATGCCACTGACAATATACTTCACTGTCACAAACACCTTACTACAGTATTACTGAGAAAGTTTTCAGTTAACAATTAACCGACTCATTTAACAAAAAGGAAACAAAAAAAATCGTTTTTGGTAATGCAGGGCTGAATAAGAAAGGTAAAGTCATAACATATCAAATTTTATCTTTTTTTTGAGTCTTCTCTAGCTTCTTTTTGTTCTTCTAAGCCCATGGGAGTCACACAGCACCTGAGGAAAAAAATGGAAATCAAGTTTCAACGGTGGAAACGAAGAGTAGCCTCAATTCCCGGAATCAAGAGCTCTCCGCTGACTTCAAGGCACCTACCTACAAGGGATTTACAAACTATTTTTGGGGGGGATATCAATGAGAGGTCTCATTAGGTGGAAAAAAAAATAATTGTAAATATCTCACGAAGACAGGACTCAGAGCAATGGATTCAAACTGGTCAAATTTAGTGTTAGAAAGGATACGGGAAAGTGTTGGTTTAGTAGTAAAGTTGTAGATGATTAGAACAAACACTCAGGTAGCGTCATTAATGCAGCTTTAAATACAGGATTGATGGATACATGAGTGGGTGTGGATGGGTGAGTTGAACCTGCCTAAAATGCGTTAGTAGTCCCGCTGCATTGTTTCTTCATTATTGTGTTCTGGTATAATGCACTGCAATGTTTTCTTACTTTGGTTTAGTGTATTGTTTTGGTGTTCGTCCTCCGTTTCACACACTACCGCTAGATATTACCACCTGCTCAGACGTTCCATTAGAACAAGCAGATGACCCACTGGAACCCACCAGTTGCTTCGGAGCACCCACTAGAACTCGATATCAACCCCAGACGACTTACTGAAATCCCTATTTACTTCAGACAACCCATTAGAACCCACTTGCCTCGATCGACCCACTAGAACCCTCAAACGACCTATCGGAACCCACCACTTGTCTTAAGCTCAACACCAACTTCAGAAGATCCACTAGAACCCACCCATCTGTTACAAAAAAATCCACTGGAACCCACCACCTGCCGAGGACTGCTTCTTGTAACTCTATACTTGGTCAAATTCCCCAGATTGAGTGGTACTTGAGACATCTGGCTACTCATCCCCGGGTTGAGGTTACCTCGATTGGCAAGTCGGTGGAAGGTCGCAACATCTGGCTGGTTCATATCATGCCTGCCACCACGTGTAGAGGTAAGTCCCATGTACCATGTATAAGTGGGTCCTATATGATGCATCAACCCCACCATCAGGTGTATAGGTGGGTGCAATATTGCATGCAGCCCACCACCAGGTGTATAAGTGCAATGGGTGCTATGGTGTGAGAAGCTTTCTACTGCGCTAAAAGACATTAAAAGAAGAAATCATTGACATGACTAAAACCTCTATGAAACATTATGAACTTGGGTATTATCAGTGTCTTATATTTTAATCTTCATACATAAGTCATGTATCAAGCCGTCCTACCTCTCAAGGGTAGAATGGAGTGATATATGATTTATTTATGGTGAGGGGCTCTTGATCTAGGGAATTAGATCTGTTTCAGTTCCCTGAATTGAGCCTGAATGCCTTCCATACTCCCTCCTCCCCAGCCTCTGTATAATCCCTTCCGGTTTAGCGCTCCCGCATAATAATAATAATAATAATAATAATAATAATAATAATAATAATAATAATAATAATCAATCCGTCCTAAAAGAAACGTCAATTTCTTACATACGATTTTTATCAATTTTCTAAATATACTTTGTTTAGGATAGGTTAGTCTAGGCTAAATTGTCGTCCATAAAAATTTGACCAATTATAATATAACGCCAATAAACGAAGTTTTGAATCACGATTTCCTAGCATTGTGAGTCAAGTGTTTGATGTTCCTGGACAGTGATGTACTGACGTTGAACTGGAAGATGAACTGTATTTTTTCACGTAATTTCTCAAACTTTTTTCTGTTTTAACTATATTTTTTCAGGTGCAGATAATATACAGCAATATAAATTCCAATATTGGTTTAAAAAAGTCAACATTTCTCTATCTATAAATTTGAGAGAGAGAGAGAGAGAGAGAGAGAATGAATGAGAATTTGTAACACTGAACCAGTAGATTATATAACTATTGTCGTGATATTTTGTGGTAAAGCTTGTGAATTAAACACTTGTGTTGAGCACTGTCAGTTATTACCGGTTGAACTGTAAACTGTAGATCTTGACATTGTACTAGTTAACAGTTCTGTATGACGTATTATGGAATAAATTGTATAGTTCATGAGAGTACTTGTGCTCTGTAGCGACAAGTGTACATTTAATGGCGTCTCTGCTAACCAAATGTTGGAATAGGAGTTTCATTCCTCACCTTGTAGCGGAGGTAGTTAACTTTTTATTACACGGTGGAATTTACAGGTCAAGAGCTATTATCCGATTTCAGCTCATTTCAAACTCTCGTTCTGAGTTATGCTGCCTCCCCAAGGATGCCATCCAGAACAGTCGATTAACAATGGTGAATAGGTGCAATAGAAACCTGTCAGTATTCCTTCACCAGCCTTGCATTTACCCAGACTCCTTCAGTTGTGAGGTAAAGGTGCTACTTCTTGAGTTACGAGCCACCAACTTCGATGTACCATAATAGGTGAATCTATGTTGCCGCGCGTAGCGCTCCGAACGTACTAGATCTACGTTTTTTTTTTTTAACATAAGATACAGGGCATACTCAACTTCATTTTATTTTGCAGTTACTTCTGTGTATTCCATATCCATTCACTGAAACTAAACATAACAAACCCATAACTCTACGCAAATAATTACCCACACATAGGAGCGAGGAGCTTACGACGACGTTTCGGTCTAACTTGGACCATTTACGAAGCTCCTTTCTCCTATATGCGGTTATTTGTTTATTCCAGTCACGGTACTGTGCCTTTTTGTTCTTTCTTTTCCATAATAACTTTCCGGTTACAAAAACTGTGTGCTGTGTTCAAGTCCCCATCTGATATAAGTGTAAAGTTATGCTGTTATGCTGCCAGGCGCATAACAGCACTTTATAGGCAAAACTTATTATTTGTCAGACATTGGCTGTTGACAAAATCTGTTCTGTTGCGATGGGGATCTTGTGTATTTAATTAATACCTGCCTAGTTAAGCTCTTAACTTCTAGAAACAGGATTTGTTGATTCCTGCCTCCAGACCCGGTCATATCAGCCCTTGAAACTGTGTATTACCTTTGCCTCCAACATTTCCATATAGTGACCTCCATTTGTTCACCACACTAAGTCTGAAAAAAATAGTTCCTAACGTCCTTGTGACTAACTTTCGTCTTAGCTGCGATCTATGTTTTTAAAGATGGCTCCCTCTCCTCTGTCTAATCCTGTGAATATTTTGTATATCATAATCATGATCTCCCCTAGTTCCCTTTATTTCTTCTGTTTAGTGTTTCAAGTGTCTTGGTAGTTCATTCCCCTCAGTTCCGGTACCAATCTCATAGCGGATCTCTGGATATGTTCTAGCTTTTTAGTGGAGTTCAGTGCTGGTGCCACATATTTCAAGATGTCCCTAACGTACGTTGTTATTGTCCGAAATTAATCCAAATTCAGGTTCATAAAAGTTCTAATATTAGCTAGTTTTGTATAGGATGCCGAAGTTATATATTTTGGGTACTGGTGATATACTTTGTATAATACCTATAAATTTCAGATCTTTCTCCCTGCACGTCATCTGCAGTTTCTTTCCTCCCTGGTTGTATCCCTATCCAGTCTCCTTTTTCATATTTTCATTATTTTGAACTCATCAGAATTGAATTCAAGTGGACAACTTCCTGACCAGGTTTGCAACCTGTTCGCATTTTCTTGGAACCTTTTCCCTTCCTCTTGAAATATTCAACAATTTCACATTCAAACATAATAATATGTAAGATTCGGTTTCCTCTAACAGTCCACTGACATATATCGGGCTTAGCAAACGTCCCACCACTTATCCTTGGGACACTCCACTCGTCACCTATGTCTATTCTAATACCCTGTCTGAAGAGATAAGGGCCCAATGTTAAGAGATGTGTGTTACCAGGAGGCAGGTCAGCGGCAGTCATGCCAAGACATCATCAGAGACAGAAACACTACCGAGCCGCGAAGGCACGCTCCATCTGGCTGGAGGCTGGTGCGTATTAATCTATTTTGTTCATATTTCACTGGCATTTGAGGTTTTCGAGTACATGTTAAGTGTCAGAGTAAAAAAAATAGCTAAATCATGTCTACAAAATTGTTGACAGCTTGCGCAAGACTAACTTTGCTCAAATTTTGAAAGAGTTATAGATTTAAATCAACATTAAAGGTTATTGCTATTACAATAATATTGCTATTACAATAATATTGCTATTACAATAATATTGCTATTACAATAATATTGCTATTACAATAATATTGCTATTACAATAATATTGTTATTACAATAATATTGCTATTACAATAATATTGCTATTACAATAATATTGCTATTACAATAATATTGCTATTACAATAATATTGCTATTACAATAATATTGCTATTACAATAATATTGTTATTACAATAATATTGCTATTACAATAATATTGCTATTACAATAATATTGCTATTACAATAATATTGCTATTACAATAATATTGCTATTACAATAATATTGCTATTACAATAATATTGCTATTACAATAATATTGCTATTACAATAATAGCAATAATCAAAAGTAAACTTTAATAAATGAAGCTGCAGAAAATGAAAGATCAAGTGAAATTCCAAGCGCCTTCGTAACTTCTCACATTATCAGGGAACTATAAAAATAAAAGGTTAACATGAAGGCATATAAAGACGAGACTACACCTCGCTGCCACCCCACAACAACACCTGACTTTTATGATGATGTAGGTAGGCCATTCCATCAGAATGGAAACACAGTTTGTTGGATCATTGCTATAATAAACTTAGAAGAATTTGTAATGAACTCAAAAACAAACTGCAACGAAAATTAGACATTTTAGTTGAAAACAGTGATTGGATAAAGCATGCTAATAACAATTTTGTAATTAATTTACCAGATGAAATACTAGATAGAAATACAATTGCTAAGTTTTGCAACTTCAAAAAAAAAAAAACTTGAAAATGTTGAAATTGCAAAAGCCTTCTGTAACTCAGAAAAATCCTCTGATTTATCCACTGATGAAAATAACATTAGTAAGGGGATGATATAGAGCTATATATTAACACAAAATATTTCCGATTGCCCTCAAAGATTCTTTAAGTCTTATGATGTACTTATTAGTAATAAAAAAATCGCATCTCACTAAAGCAGATAAAGTAAATGCAATAGTAATTCTGGAAGAAACTGAATATCAAGATAAAATGAATAATCTCCTAAGTGATACTGAAACTTATTCCAACCTTAGAAAGTATCTCTTAGAATCTGTTAACAGCAATTTCAATAAAATAATAAAACGTCTATTGAAAGGCAAAGATGAATAAATTAAAAAAATTACTTCCACTAATCCATCTTTACCCTATACGTATGGATTAATAAAAAACGCATAAACCAGGTAATCCAGTTAGACCAATTATTAGCTCCATAGGCTCAGTTTCCTATAAATTATCTGCAAGATAATTTATAATTCATAAATTATCTTGCAGATATTTTGAGCCCAATTGTTGGAAAAAATTCTAATAGATTTAAATTAAATTCTAATAGATTTAAATTAAATTAAGCACCTTGACTGACTTATATGATTTCAGTATGGTTAGTTATGACGTTACTTCCTTGTTTACAAAAGTTCCAGTTGATGATTTATTAAGTTTCTTATCTGAAGAACTTGTTAATTACGATTTACCATTGCCAGTTCTACTGTCGTTAAACTTATTAAACTTTGCATTATTGATGCAAAATTCGTGTTTAATGGCGAGTTTTACACTCAGAAATTTGGTATGTCAATGGGAAATCCTTTATCACCTGTTCTTAGTAATTTATACATGGAATTTTTTTAAATAAGATTGCTTAACACAATCCTTCGTAATAGAGCAAAGTGGTATAGATATGTTGATGATATTTTGTGTCTTATGCTTAAGAATATAGATATAAACCATTTCCTTGTTAAATTAAATAGTTTAGCTCATTCTATAAATTTACTGTTGAGTTCGAAGAAAATTACTCATTGCCTTTTCTAGATGTTTTAATTATTAAGGGTAACAATGATTTTAATTTTAAAGTTTACAGAAAACAAACCAATAACTGTTCCTATGTACACTATTATTCTTCACATCATGATAGAGGTAAACTGTCGGTATTCTCATCATTGTTTTTGAGAGCTTTACGTATTTGTAGTCTAGAGTTCATAGATGAAGAAATATCCAAAATTTATAAGAAATAGCTAATGATCTAAAATGCCCAAGAAATGTAACTGATAAAGCCTTTAAAATTGCTAGAAATAATTTTTACAATTCAAAAAGGGACAACCAGCCTTATTCAACTAAAACTATGTTGGTTCTCCCTTACCATGAAAACTTTCTTGATATGCCTTCTATACTTAGGAATTTTAATATCAAACTTGTATTTAAAAACCTTGATACTGTTAAAAAGCTTTTGATAAAAACTTGCCCAAAAATGCTGATGGGCGTGTCTATAAAATTCCTTGTCAAATATCTGATGAAGTTTATTACGGTCAAACTGGTAAAAGTCTTGAACTAAGATTAAAACAACATTAATATAGCATTAGTAGTAGACAAGATTCTAATACTCTGTTTATTCATGAGAGAGATTTTAACCATCCAATTGATTTTCAAAATGTTGAGAAAGTTGTATCAAGCAAGTCCATGGTCGACAGGAATATAATTGAATCTTGTTTCATAAAAAGTAGTTTTGAAAGTAATATGAATATTGCTTTTGGTTTATGTAAATTGGATTCATTTATAATTAATAAAATTTGGAAAGAATTTAACCCTTAAACTGTCCAAGCAGATCTATGTTCACATGCGTAGTGCTCCAAAAGTAGATCTATGTTTTTTTACATATTTCAAATATAACAAAAAAAAAAAAAGTAGATCAAAGTTTTTTTTACACTTTTTCAAATGTAAAAAAAGAAAAGAGGATCTACTTTTTCACATACTTTCAAATGTTGTAAAAACGTAGATCTACGTTTGGACAGTTTAAGGGTTAAGATACATTGGACAAATTTTTGGGGTAGAATGTAAGCTTTGCTTCACGGATCACTGACTACCTACCTACATCATCATAAAAGCCAGGTGTTGTTGCTGTTGTTGTTGTTGTTGTTTGGTGGCAGAGAGGTGCAGTCTCGTCTTTGTATGCCTTCCTATTAACCTTATATTTTTATAGTTCCTTGATAATGTGAGAAGTCAGGAAAACGCTTGGAATTTCACTATTTTTTCAGAGTTCTTATTTTGTATATATATATATATATATATATATATATATATATATATATATATATATATATATATATATATATATATATATATATATATATATATATTATATATATATATATTATATTTATATATATATATATATATATATATATATATATATATATATATATTATATATATATATATATATATATATATATATATATTGTAACCATAGTGTAAATACGATGCTACCCTTGACTAACTGTTATCCCACTAATCCTTATCATATGTTGCACCAGGCCTCCATGCACGGGAATGGATCTCAGTATCTGTGGCTCTACAACTTATTCATAACATGGTACGTGAATGCAGTGTGGGACGAGCAGTGCATGTTTACGTGGTACCCATGGCCAACCCTGACGGCTACGTTTACACCTGGACCCACCAACGCATGTGGCGCAAAAACCGCAGGAGGAATCATGGATCTAACTGTGACGGAGTGGACCTCAATCGTAACTGGGACTTCCAGTTTGGCGTTGGTGCTTCCTCTAGTCCCTGTAGTGAGATTTATCAAGGACCTAGCTCCTTCTCTGAGCCAGAGACACAGTCACTACGTGATGCCATGCATCAGGTAAACAGTGTAAGTAAACTGATGCTAGTTTTAGCCCTACACAGCTACGGCCAGCTACTGTTATACCCATTTGGTCACACCACAGAACCAGCACCTCACACACCCGCCATGAGACGACTGGGCAATATCTTTGCCCAACATGCTAAAGTAGGTTCAGGTACTGTTTACGATGTTATGAACTCTGCTACAGGTCTTTACTTCTCGTCTGGCTCCACGGATGACTGGGCGAAGGGAGTCCTTAATACCAAGTTTGTGTACACGCTTGAACTCAGAAATAAAGTCACCTTCCTTCTTAATGCTGACCAGATATTTCCAACGGGCCAGGAAGTCTGGGATGGCTTGAGGGCAATGATAGAAGCTCTTACCCCAGAAAAACTTTCCGAATAATACTGACTTTATTCTGTGTGATGATGCATGGCTTTTAGCTCACTCCATATATATATTATAAACACTGTTTCTATAGAAACAACACAAAGATTTCTAGATCAATTTGAAAAACACATTTATATTTAAAAAAAGTCAAAATAATTTTTCCGAAACAGGAAATTAGTTTTGATTTTTTAAAAATGTCGAAAAAAACTATCCAAGCATTGATTGTCATAATAAATCGTAGAGATTAAAGCCGCCTCAGTACTGTCGCCTGGGTTCCAATAGTTATTACTTCTCTCTCTTGTAATAAAGACCGGCAAGTATTTCTGTTTCTTTTTATGTAACAAAGATTTCCACTTAGTTTTAAAATTTTAAAAGAGAGGGGAAAAATTGGGTTTAATACCCCCCCATATGTAATCACTGCCACACACAACCCCACCATACTGCACACCAACCAACACCATCACTGCCTCACAAAAACACCACCATCCTCCCACCACAACCACCCAATACTCCCACACACAACCAACTACCTCCCCCACCACAAACCCCCACCGTGAATCCCTAAAAACCCACCCCTTCACTGCCACACAAGCACCCCCCATCACTGCCGCACACAAAATCCCAACACTGAAACGCACAACCAACCCCCATCACTCCCACACAAAACCACCCACCTCACTGCCACAAAAAACCACCCACATCACTGCCACGCACAACCGCACACCTCACTGACACCACAACCACCCCCCATCACTCCCACCACAACCACCCCCATCCTCCAACAAACTACCCCCTCATGCCACACAAAACCCATCCAAACACGCCACACACAAACTACCCAAACACTCCCACAAAAAACCCCAACCATCATGCCAACACAACCACCCACTATCATTGCAACACGACCACCACAATCACTCCCACCACAACCCCCCCACCACTTTCCCAAAAAAACCTCCCACTATCACGCCCCCCACAACCCCCCCATCACTGCCACACAAAACCCCACCCCCCGCATGCTACAAAAAACCATCCCCCACCTGCCACACAAAAGACCACAATCACTCCCACACAAACCACCCACTTTCATGCCATACAAAACCAGCACAATCACAGCCACACACAACACCCGCCATCACTGCCAAAAAAACTACTCCCTCACTGCCACACCAACCACCCACCTTCACTGCCAAAACACAACCCGCACCACAAGCCACCCAACCCCCCGCCTCATCCCACACAAAACCCCCACTCACTCCCACACCAGCCACCCGACTCTGCCACGCACAACACCCGCCACCTGCCAAACAACCCCCCCATCCTCCCACACAAAATCACCCAACTTACTCCAAAAAAAACCCCCCCACCATCATGCCCCCCAAACTACCCCCTCACGGGCCACAAAACCCCCACCCCCACTCCCCAAAAAAAAAACCACCAACATCACTCCCACACAAACAACCCAAAACACTCACTGCTTAACACAACCACACACTATCACTCCCAAAAGCCTCCCCTCACTGCCTCATCATACTCCACCATCACTGCCAAACAAAATTTACCCCCCCATCATGACACACAAAACCAACCCCTCTTGTTTTAATAAAACCACCCCCCATCACTGCCACACACAGCCCCCCGACATCACTCCCACGCAAAAACCCCCCGCCATCACTGCCACAAAAAACCCCCCCCATACTCTAAACAAAACCCCACCCACCTAAACTGCCCACAAAAACACCCGCCAACTGTCACACAAAACCCCATCCACCTTTCATCCCACACAAAACAACCCACCATCACTGCCCCCCAAAATACCCACCTTCACCCCACAAAAAACCACCCCCCATCACTGCCCACAAACTACCCCCCATCAATGCCCACACAAACCCCGACCATCACTGCCCCAAAAACCCCCCCTCACTGCCCCCCAACAACCACTCACCTATCATTCCCATCAAGAAACCACATCACCCACACCACCCCCCACCCCCGCACCCCCCCCCCCCCCCAAAATCACCCCCCATCCTGCCAAAAAAATATCCCCATCACTAAAACCACACCCCCCCCACCTTCACTGACACACACAAACCACCCCCACACAGCCACACAACCACCGCCTTCACCCCACCACAACCACCCCCATCACTGCCAAACAAAAACCCCCATCACTGCCACAACACCACCCGCCTATGCCACGCAAACTACCCCCCATCCTCCCAAAACCCAACCCCCACCATCCTTCCACGCACAACCACCCCCCTTCACTGCCACACACAACTACCCACCTCACCCCACACAAACCACCTCATCACGCCAACACAATACCCCCCATTTTGCACACGAAACTACCCCCTCACGCCACACAAAACCCCCCCTCCTGCCCAAAAACCCACCCACAACCTCCCACACCCAAAACCCCCCACATCACTGCCAAGCACAACACCCGCAATCACTCCACAACAATACCCACCATCCTGCCACACCAACCACCCCCCATCATTTGCCACGCACAACCACCCGCATCACTAAAAACCAAAAAACCCCTCATCATGCCACAACAACCACCCACCACACTGCCACCACAACCCCCCCCCATCCTCCCCAACACACAACCCCCCATCCTGCCACAAAAAACACCCACCATCACTGCAACACACAACCATCCAAATCACTGCCACACACAACCCCCCCAAATCACTCCACGCAAAAACATCCCCATCACTGCCAGCACCACCCCCGACCACCCATCCCACACTCAGCCCCCCGACCATTACGCCCACACAACACCACCTTCACTCCCACAAAAAAACCCGACGCAGGGGCCACACAAACCCCCCTCACTGCCCACACAACACAACCATGAATACCCACAAACAACACCCACATCCTGCCACACAAGCCCCAAAACCATTACTGCCTCACAAAAACGTAAAAATCACTGCCTTTGCACATCACCGCCCAACACTGCCACACAAAACCACGTCTCACTGCCAACAAAACCATTGCCCATCACGTCACCCCAAACCCCCGACCATCACTGCCACACAAAAAATCACCACCCTGCACACACAAGCACCGACCTTTGCCAACACGCCATCCACCATAGCACGCCCAACCCCCGACCATCATTGCTACACAAAACCCACCCAAAAATATGCCACACACAACTCCCCCACCATGTTACAACACAAACAACCCCCCACTATGTTGTGATGAAGGGTTTGGAAAAAACCGACAATTGAAGTTTGAGACACTTATGCAGCTATGGGAATCTTTATTCGGGAAAACTTTCGCCAACAGTGGCTTCATCAGCCCAATACAAAAGGAAGGTTAAGGAGAGGAGGAGTATGGGTAATCGTCCCTCAGCCCGGAGCAAAATGTTCAGTTTATCAAACGTAGAATGATTGATGGACTGAACACATCGACTCCAGGGTGAGGATGATTCCTCATACTCCTCTTCCTTTTGCCTTCCTCTTTGATTGGGGGTGATGAAACCACTTTTGGCGAAAGTTTCCTGAATAAAAATTCCCATATGCTGCATAGTGCTAATCTTTAACCCCCCCAATACATGCCACACAAGCAAAACCCCCCACACGCCTCACACAAACATCCCCATGACTGCCCCGCACAACCCCCCGCCAGCATGCCACCAAAAAAACCCACCATCACTTAAAACAACCCCCCACCTAATGTACACATAAAACCCGCCAGCACTGCCCACAAAACCATCCACATCATGCCAACACAACCACCCACAAAACACTGCCACAACAAACCCCCCACCCCTCACTGCATGCCAACCCCCCCACCTCACTGCCATGCACAACCACCCACCCCGATATTTTACACATAAAACCCCCACCCTACGCTTACACAACCCCACCATTTTTGCCCTGCAGAACCACGACCTCACGCCAAAACAACCCCCCACCATAACCCAACAAAAACACCCCCCTCACGCCACCAAAACCATCCCCATCACGCCAACCAAACCCCCCACAAACACGCCCACACACAAAAAACCCCATCACTGCCAGCCAACCACCCACCCCATGCCATGCAAACCACCCCCCACGAATTTCACAACATAACCACCCCAAACCTCATGCTTACAAGCCACCCCCCATCACTTCCCCACCAACCCCCATTTTTACTTCCACACACAACCCCCCACACAATGCCACCACAAACACCCACCCTCATGCCACACAAGCTCCACCTTTACTGCCACGTACAACCACCCATATCATGCACACACAAAACCCCCCCACCATCACTACCACAAACCCAAAACCCCCCACCCTCACGCCCCCCACAACCACCCCCCATCATACCACACACAACCAAACACCTTAAACCACAAACAAAAACCCCCCATCGTGCCCCACACAACCACCCCCATCGCTCCCACACACAACCCCCCCCATCACGCCAACCCCAACCACCTAAAAAATTACGCCACACACAAACCCCTCCCTCCCCGCCCCCAAAAACATCCCCCCACCATCACTACCCACACTCCCAAACCCCCCATCCTGCCCCACACAACCACCCACCATCACACCACCAAAAACCAACACCATTATGCCCACACAACCACCCACCCCCACTGCCATCACAACACCCGCCCATTTCCACACAAAACCCCCCATCATACCCCCAAACCACCCACCCTCCTGCCACGCACAACCCCCCCACAATCCTGCCACATACAACCACCCACCCTCATCCCACACAACCCACACCTTCAAACCACACAACAACCACCCCCCATAGTGCCCCACAAACCCCCCCCCATCACCCAACACCAACACCCCACCATCACTGCCACACCAACCCAAATACCCTTTCTGCCAACCCCCAAACCACCATCACTGCCACACACAGTCCCCCCACCCTCACTCCACCACACAAAAACCCCCCATCATGCCCCACCAAAACCCCCCACCCTCTTTCCCCGCACACCAAAAAAACTCACCCGCCACAACAAACCCCACCCTCATGCCACCAAACCCCCCACCTCATTCCCACACAACCCCCGCCATCATTGTCACACCAACCACCCACCCACTTCCCCCACAACCATCCCCGTCACGCCCACACAACAATCCCCCGCACTGCCAAACACAAAAAACCCCCCC